GAGAATATTTGAAGGCATAGAAATTAATTAGTAGTACTGTAATTGCGAGAGATTAATGCACAATAAATATTTTTGGAATTAGAAGTTACACAAATAAAAAAACTGTCATTATCAATACAGTGTTTAATTAGATAAAAAAAACTGTTAGGTACGGAATGTGAAATGATTAACCTGTGAAGTGGGATGGCAAATGATTAATATCGTTCCTTTACCATGTAGGGACATATGGAATATTTATGGTTTATTATTTTATCTAATAAATGGAATGAATTAAGAAAAAAATGAGGAGAGAATCGTGTCACATTACCTTGTTTAGATATTTACATTTATATTTATAATTATACATAATTTATGAGTTTTATATATAGACATAGACATAAATTTTATAATTAGAAGAAGATAAAAAAAAAAAAGTAAAAATAAATAAAATTATTGTGTGAGTTATGGATAATTACAGCTTGTAAATTGACATATAAAAAGTTTTTGGTATAAATGTTCCCCATTAATAAAATGTAGATTAGTAATAAATTAAGTAATCTAGGTTTATAATAAAATAATTAATTTAAATAGGAAAAAAGGTCAAAAAAGATAATTGCAAATAGAAGTCATAGAGACGTGTCAAATCACCTTGTCTATGTTTATCTTTTATATATAAATATATAAATTGAAGGTATAAAACATATTTTAAAAAGAATACATTCAAATTCTAATTATTATTTATAAAAAAAATATGTGTTTAAAATATGATTAGCTACCTTATTAGACATACATTCGTACCATATATACTAACTTTATCTCTATTTTCAAACAATTACATATATTATCACTTTTAATATTTTATACCATATATTATTGAATATACTATCACATACTCATATCCCTTAAAATTAGTTATTTGCACAATTAAACCATCCAAATTCAAGCTTTCATGTTAATCAATTCTCTCTCTCATCAACCTCCATCTCCACCGTACCATTGTTTTCTCTCTTTCTTCCATCTTTCCCCATGAATTCCACCATTAAACCTTTACAATTGAAATCTAAAATAACAACACAATAATTTGAAGTTTGTGTCTATTTAATTATTTTCAAAGTCATATATCCTTGATAGATTTCAATTGATTGTCTTTTAATTTTTAAAAGTGAAGGTAAAACTCCATTGATTTAGAGTTATTCTTATTTTTTTTACATGACTAGTGATTCTCCAAATGAGAAGAGTGTCATCTATTGTTGTTCGGAAAACGGCATAAAAATTACCAGCTTAAATTTAAAAAATCAAAAATGCAACAACGTTGATAAACTTTAAGGAGGAAAAAGATGAGAAATAGTCTTTTTGGATCGGATTGAAATTATTGATGTATCTGACACATTATCGATGTATTTGACATATTATTGATTAAGATTATATGTATTCATTTTCTTTAATCAGTGTATCTAATTAAGTGTATATGTATCTGAATAAATATACACATATATTGAAGATTTATGCATTATTGGAGATTTACGCATGTAACTGACACATTATTGAATTAAGATTATATGTATCAATTTTTTTTATCAATATATCTAATTGAGTGTATATGTATCTGAATAAATATAAGCATGTATTGGAGATTTACGCATTATTGGAGATTTACGCATCTATCACACATTATTGTTGTATTAGACACATTATTGAATTAAGATTAAATGTATCTAATTTTTATCATTGTATCTGATTAAGTGTATATGTATCTGCCAACATATACACATGTATCCGAATAATACTCCCTCCATTTCATATTAATTGAATTTTTGAGGTGTTTCACACCCTTTAAAAAAAGTAGATTAAGACATAAATTAAACATAGTTTTCCATTTTTATCCTTATTAATTATTGTCAAATTTATTGAAGTCATCACATTGAAAATCCAAATAAAGGGTAAAATTGGAAGAATACTCTAAAAGTAGTTTTGAAAACTGAACAATTAAGTTAATTTGAAAAATAAAAAATATCTCAAAAATTTAATTAATATGAAATGGAGAGAGTAGTTAAGAAGTCTAAACTTTGGTTTGCCGAAAAAAGAGAGAATCTTTTGATTGTTTTGATTGTTCTTTAGAAATTATGATACGCAATATCCTTTAAAGTTGTTTCCTGATTTTTCTTTAATTAATAATTTTTTGGATTTTAGTCATATTTCTTAATTAAACACATTCACTAATTAATGACTTTCAATTATATCCCTTAATTACTATTTTCTCCGTTACATTTTATATGTCACCTTTTTACTTTACACTTGCATTAAGAAATGATGTAATTTTACCCTTTTACCTTTATTTAATTTTTTTGGAACTCAAGTTTTCAATCAATGAATATGAATTAATTTATTTTGATTAATTAATTTAACCAATGAACATGAATTATTTACTTAGCTTTTCTAAGTTGGTCAAATGTATATTTTCAAGGCTAATAACTTACAAGGGTAAAAAAAGGAAGAATATGATAATTTATGCATTGATTTTATGAAATTACAAGTATTATGGACCAACTATTTATAGAAAAAAATGACATATAAAATAGGACGGAGGGAGTACTTGATACGAGATACATGTATCTAAGATCCAAAATATAATAAAAAATATAATATTGCAAACTATTATCAATCTAAGTAATTATATCTTAAAATAGTGAAATTTGTGTAAATTACCCAAAATATTAGATTTTTCATGACCGTCCACTTAGTTTTCTAAAGGCCAAACACATATACAACCCCTCTAACTTGCCCTCATTTTTCATTTTGGCACTCTAACTTAGCCTTGTTCCATTTTAACCCTTAAACTCCATTTTTTATGTACCATTTTAACATGAAATACTATTTTTATGATTTCTTTATTTTTATATATATTCTTCAATTGCAACTTCTTATTTTAAATCGACATGTGTCAGTTAATTTTAGTTAAAAAAA